AAGAGAAAGAAAAATTATCAGTGAGAGAGTGAAATAACTATTATAATTAATATTTTTAGTTTAAAGAATTCTTGAATATTTATAAAAATTTATAGAGAATTTATAAGAACTTATAAGAACTTTTAGTTTCAAAAATATAACGCGAGATATTCATGGAGATTCACAGAGGTGACGACGATAAATTGGTTTTGGTTTCTCTACTTCATCTTGATTGGAAAGGTATGTTCAAACCCAACTAATCACCAATAATCAATAACTAACTTGAAAGAAAGATACCAGGCAGGTAAAGTTACATAGTATCCATCCCATCTTACCGTGTCATCATCTCATCATCTCACCATCTCACCATCTCGCTTAAGCCCAGCTTAACCCAAATTAAAGTTAATTTCCTCAGCAGTCAAAAAGGGGCTACAATACTAAGAGCACCCATAATAGATCCATCCACCCATCCATCAATCAATCACCCAACTATCAACACAAAATAAAATAAAATAAAATACATTAAAAATCTATTTCTATTCTTCTCCTCTCCTCATCTAACATCTAAGAAGTATTGCAAGTATTCTGCTTAAACCACCCCTACGATATCTAACCCCACTTTCATCCTTTCTTTCTCCCAAAACGCCCAACTCCAAATCTTTCCCCAACCTTACGGATCCTACTACTTTAGTCCTTAATGCTTCGTACGATATCATAAGTGTTGTGCCAGTCGTATGTACAATCCCTGCTCCCGTCCCAAACCCATTCTATCAAAGGTACAACCGTATTCCAAGCTCTAAAGAAAGCAAAACTCCCTTCCATCATACTAAAAGAAATTACAACTCGTCCTTGTTCTTATTCTCACTCTCACTCTCACTCTTTCCTCCAATAATATTTTCCAGCGTCTCCATCACTTCCTCCGCCTTCTCCTCAATCTTATCCCGTCATCCTTCCTCGTCTTGCGTCCTCCTTATTTTCATCATCTCCTGCCACCTTATACTTGTCTTCCTCCTCAATCTTAACATTCTTTGCATACTCAGCAATCCTACTAACAACCATCTCTTGTATTTCTTCACCTCTACCCGCCGCTACCCTTAGTATTAAATCATTTAAACTGTGTCTTCCCAAGATATCCACATGATCTCCTGTAGTTGGGCCTCCACGAGGACTGAATCTATCCGGTTCATGGGGCATCTCGTAGGTTTTAACTTTTACACCTGCAGGGTTATAACGATGATATTTCCAACCGCGGTTACACATATAACCAACGCTCAGTAAATTGACAGTTCCGTCACCTTCACCGAGAATGACTCCGTGATCTATGTTAGCTTGTGTTAAGCCGGTATCTATTGTGATGTTGAGGGATGAAAGGGGGTTATCTGAATGTCGGTAGAAATAGGAGCGCTCGGTTGGCTTGCCAATTCCTGTTAGACATTAGCATCATTGCTAGTGAAATTTGAGGCGAAAATAACACACCATAGAAACAATAGATTTTCAAATTTGGTGCAAGAGGTAATCTTGTCTCAAGCGGGTTAATCCATTTCGTTGGATCACTCTCATTTGCTTCTACTTCAGCAGTAGTATGAGCTACACCATGTGAATAGCTACCCTCAACTGCCTTATGATACCAATCTTCTGTGGTATTATACAAATATTCTAAAGACTGTGATACTGTGAGATTGCGATATCCCGTTGAAGTATTTTGGTTTTTAAAATTCAAAAATTGTCCATAGCTGACTTCTTGACCCGGGGTGTCATCTGGTGCCCAGGTCGCATTACCCCAGACGGCGTCACCTCCTATGGGCAACATAGAGGAGATTCCCGGCATGGCTCGGAAGAGTTCTGCTCGCTCTTCTTTGTTAAGAAATTTTTCCAGGCCATAAACTGCAAACGCGTTGAGTTGAGCTGTATCCTTCATTTCCCCCGATAGTACTGCAGGCAATCCTTTGAGAGCTCCAAGCATACATCCACTAATATTAATCCAAGAATCAACATGCTTATCAACCCAATCATCTCCACCATTCCCACCACTTGAAGATGCTACCCAATGCATGAAATAAAATAGCACCTGACCACCCATAGAATGTGAGACCAACACGACCTTCTTATTTGAAATTTTTTTTGCCATTTCGATATGCGTCTTTAGTCTTGTAAAGTATTGATCTCTAACTTCCAAATTTGCATACGACAATCTCCAATCATAAGCCGCCGTATAACTATTCGTAGGATCATAACCAATGCTGGCCAAATTCTCCAATATTTTACTCCAAATCCAATATCCCGTTATGAAGAAATCGGCGGCATCGAATCCTTGCGCGGCTCTCAATTTGACCCCTGGTGGATCTAATCCCGTACGTTTGTCTAGCATGATATGTCGTTTCCATTCATCTTTATCCGCAACCAATGCTCTCATCATACTCCAACTTCCCCATAATCTTTTGCGAAAGAAAGGTCGTGAAGCATTCGTCGTACCCCAGGACTCTAATCCCGTCGATATGACACCCGGGACCATAATAACCGAATGATTTGCACGGATTCCCTGTGCCTTGAGATATAATCCCACAGAGAATGAATCATAATTCACAGCTTCCCGTTCTCCCTTCTACAGACAGAAATTATTAGCATAGATCCTATCAGACACTCTTCTTCCCCTCTTCAACTTCCTACCCAAAATCCAAGGAGGGATACAATACAGAAAAACCAGCACCCACAGCCAAATCCCTCGCATCCTTCACAAAGCCTGCCGGCAATACATCCATCAAACTATCCATGGTAATCCCTTCCAACATTTCCGGTAACTCAATTAAATCATTTCTGCCGGCAAAAAACCCCGCCACTACCAAACCAAAAAGTCCTCCTAGAAAGAATATAAAAGTATTACGTCGTTTCCTAGTTTTTCGTTCTTTATGTGTGAGGATTCTCGACACGGGTGCCAGACGCATTTCTTCTCCTTTGGCTGGGGATGAAGAACGAGTTGAGGGGACGGAGGGGGAGGGGGAGGACGTTGGAGACATGGTGAGAGAGGGAATTGAGAGTTAACGGGAGAGAAAGTAAGAGTGAGAGAGATCATACAAATATCATCTCATCATTACTCGAGTATAAAGAAGGAGAGGTAGAAGTAGAAGGGTAACCTTAAAGGACGGAGAATGGAAAAAAGTCAACTTTTCCCGCATAAACATTCTCGGCTTGATTAATCGATCCGATCCTTCTAACTTGAACCTACCAAGCTACGTAATCGCATTGAATTTATTGTTTGGGGGTATGATTTCGGCATTGGCGGATTGATCCGGATCTAAGCTTTTCCGTCTTCCATACAAAACATTTTAATTGGTGAATAAAAATGATTAACAGGGGTAGATGAGGTATTTCTTGCATGTGGGAAAAGACTTTAAAAAACATCGATGAATTTTAATCAGATCTACCGAATTTTAGCCATCTCAGCTATCATTGAATGTAATATCCATCCCACCAGATACTCAGATACTCAGATACTCAACTATTCAAACACAAAACTTTCACCAACTCCATAATACCCATAATACCAGCAAATATGACCTCAGAAAAGCAGCTTCTATACCTATACCTCCAAGCAATCAAGAATTACCAGCCGAGTTACGATATATTACAATAATGAGCCATTTCCTGGGAAAAACCATTATTTTACCTTTCAATTTCGAGCTTTTAA